AAGTCAGAGAAAGAGAACGATCTGGCACGAGTGCTCATGCAGTGCGTTCCAGATTTACTGGATGAACCGTGCTAAAACATTGATCTATAGGTTTACAGTCTTGGTGCAGTAAATGCCAAAGGTGGGAGCTGTGCTGTAGCAAACATTTCACAATTTTCTAGGTGATGAAGAAACCAGTATCATCATTCCCAAAAAAGAGTCCAAATAGATTTTTCTATTATGGAAAATTCTATCTTTCACTCAGCACACACGTACAGTGGGGGATGAGTCATAGATACAAGTTAACACAAGTATTTTGCAGTGTACTGACATAAAAGTACATAAAAATATTTTGTTGCTATATATTATAGAATTGATATGTAATGTTTATGGATAAAGATAATATATGTATTAGCCATGCACTGAACAGGCAGCTGACAGTCCTTAATGAGCTGTATGAAAAGTCTCTTCGCATCTTTAAGAAGCACTTCTGACTAATAAAGTAGCTATAGCAGCAGCTAGCACAGATGATAATAATTTAATTAAAAATAATAAATTGACTGTGAATGTTACTATTCATGTGTTTCCAGAGTAGCTGTTTGCCTTTTTCTTTGGAGTTTTATACAAAAATAAATCAATGGATTCCTAACATGGACATAACTTTTTTAAAGTCGGATCACACCTACAACTCAGCATTTGTTACTGGTTAACATAAAATGTCATATGCAGCCCATTATTTATTAAATATTAAAGTTAAAGACGGATAATATTGGAATCCTTTGCAAAAAAAAAAAATCCCTACTCTTCTCTCTTTCCTACAGTATGATCATATACCATTTATTTTCTTTTATGCCTCCCTACTGACACAGTTTTGTCTGTGTGATAGAACAGAGAGAAATAAAACCGTCAAGAAACACATGGAGCATAAAAACCTTTGACTGAAATTCCCCGTCGTATTTCTTTTTGAGTGTTCACATGTCAGTGTTTTGTATACGAGCAGGATCACAAGCCCTGCACGCAGTGAGCCGCATTTGGTCCTGGTGTTGCGACAGCGCTGAATAATTGACAGTGATACACGTTGCCCTTCTGTCACCGTGGGTCTGAATTATTTACCCTGAAATCCATTACAGAGAGACTAACACACACACAGAGAGAGACAAACACGACACTGGCAGATGATGTGTGATGATGATGGCTTCCATGCCTTTCTCATCTCTCAATCTGAGAATAAAAATTGGTACCAGGGTTTGGAAAAGGAGAGGAAATGAATTTCTGTGACTCATGCAAACGGAATAGTGGAAGTTATAACAATAGCGTGACACATGAGGACAGCTCCATCACCTGCAGGCAGAAATCAACAGAGCGAGTGAAAGAGGGAGAGGGATACAGAGGTTTTTTATGGACCGGTCCAATGTGTTGGTGTCTGTAGACAACAGGCCTCTGTGTTGTCACACTCGTCTCCACAATGTTCCCTTTAAAGCCACTACAGTGGTTTTATTATGGGGTTAAGCTTCTTGGTTTGGATGAAATGTTCAAGTAACTTGGAGATTCTAAAGAAACCCGGCCTGAGATGAATAACCTGCAATTTTTCCGCCGTGACTCAGCATTTGCTCTGTGGTTTTCCCTTCAACAGGCTCCTCAAGGTTAGACTTCAGAAACCACGTCCTCTAAATACTAGGTGTTGTATTTACTGTAGTGTCTACTTTTACCATATCTAGAAATTTAGAGGCTGTGGTGCTGCAGGCATTGTGCAACCCAGGTTAGGAATTACTGTCCTGAGGCACTGTTTGACCTAAGAGGTCATAGGTCAGGCCTGTCTCTGGCTAATCCAGGTCATAAATCTGAACTCACAGACTGAAGAAAGACAGACCTGCCAAGACCCAGTCCCTTATTACCAAATGGTTCTTAACACAGTTAGCATTTAGCTATTGTTAAAACCCATTTTTTTATGATTTTTTTTTTTAAGATGATGTGGGACTTCCCACAGAAATTTCTGGAATTCCCATTAAAGTACAAAATTTTTACAAAACCGTGGTGAAAAAGGTTCAGCAAGGCTTCTGTACAAAACAATTCTTTACCTTTGACTGTGTTGGGCTGATTTTAAGAGAATCACCACTATATCTACTAACTGATCAAGAAATAAACCGACTGTACTTCTTATATATAGATATATGGTTACAGTTATATACACCTGTAAATACAGCAGTTACTGAGAAAACTGACAAAATAATAAATAACACTTTCAACAAATAAACAAAGCTTGGACATTAAAAGCAAAATAAGTTGAATTAAGTTGAATTAGCAATTTTTGTTGACAAAAAAAAAATTCAAATATGTGCTTTTTTTCCATTCAAATAATTTCCTTTTAAACCAGCTCTAGCTGCTTTATCAGCATTTGCCGGTTCAGC